GTCCCACAGGCCCCCCTTGACTTGTCATCTTAACCTGATAATTGGTAAGAACCCTTCCAAGATTCTTACATTGGCGTAGTCGGCAGGATTGGGATATAGCAAGGGTGGATGCCGGTGGATTTAGTCACGATATTAATTCCGTTCTGCTGAATTGTTATTGATCACATGTGACTGTATCGCTGTATCGTTAGCGTAGTTTAGCGTGATAACAACAGCTGATATTGATACCGATTTATGTGAACTGAACATTCATATGAACTGAACATTCATTATGGATCGCGGAAGCTATCTACGCCGCTTCACAGCAGAACACATCGTAAAACTTTGTGCCTTAAACCACATTGACACAAACGAAGTTAAGACTAAACAAGATCGCATTGCCAGTCTGTGTGACCTGCCACACATGGTGGAAGAAACCCCTCCGGAAACAAAGCCAGCTGTCAATGTCGGTGTTACAGAACTGCTGCAGGTTATCAAAGAGATGGAGACTAGTCGCAGATCAGAGACAGATCAGCTTTGCAAATCTCTTGTTTCTGCAGTGACAGAAGCCACTAAAACCCCTCCTGTGGTCAATGTCGGACCAAAACTTCCCGATTTTCACAAGCTGGGCACAGAGGACGATATCGTCTGTTGGCTGGACACGTTTGAGCGGCTTGCATCTGCCGAAAAAAAAGAGAAAAAGGACTGGCCAAGACTCCTCGAACCATATCTGACGGGGAAGGCACAGAAAGCTTTCCACTCACTCAACGAGACTGAAAAGGGCGACTACGACAAGATCGTCCAAGCAATCCATCGCCGATATTCCCTCACCCCTGAGGCATATCGTCAGAAATTTCGCAGTGACTCAAAAAAGCTAGGTGAAACCTTTGAGGAGTATGCCCACCGTCTCGAATTCAACTTCACTAAGTGGCTACAAATCTCCAAAACAAACGCGGATCAGCCAGAGGTTAAGCGTATCATGAACCTTGTGATGCTGGACCAGTTCCTTTCACCGACCTCAATGCTCGATGAAACATTGCGTCTCAAGATGAGGGAAAAATCACAAACATCCCTCATTGAGATTTCCAAGGCAGCCGATGACTACGTCCTTCGCCGTCGTGGGTCAACAGTGGCTGGGGCCCATAGCCGAATGGACAATAAACAGACTCATGCGGATTCCTCCAAAGCGGATGGGTCAACCCGTGATACACGTCCACTGAGCGGTATGGGTCAAACCAATACACCCAGACCCGCTACATCGCAGGGCCAACCCGACACGCCGAGACGCAAGCCATTCAATCTGGTATGCTATCGGTGCCATCAAATCGGACATCATGAGGCGGATTGTCCGCTTCCACCCAATCGCCCTCCAAGGCCAAAGCCTCCACATTCCTCCGGAGAGAACACTCGACCGGCTCCCAAACAACCCCCTCCGGACAAAACATCGCGCACGCCACCAGAGGTCTGTGTTCTCCAACCATCCGCCAGTGAAACCAACACTTCTCTGGACACTGTAGGCACATGTAGTGGCCCATATGTCGAGTTGACCACCGGTGACAAGCAGTTTTTGGCACTGGTGGACACCAGGTCAAATGTGTCACTGATTTCGCGAACTATGTGCACCAATCTTGAACTGGACCCGTCGACATCGCAATCTCTCGTCACCGTGAATGCCATTCAGATCGACACACTTGGGACTGTTGCGGTAGACGTCAGTGTCGGGGGTGTTGACCTTACCAGCCCGTACGAGTTTAACTTATAAGATCTTATAAGATTCTTATAAGAATCTTATAAGATTCTTGTAAATGAGTAAGAATCTTATAAGATTCTTACAAGTGAGTGAGAATATGGTAAGATTCTTATAACATAATTTCAAGTCAGAATTTCTTCTGATAACTTCTTATTGTTCCTGAGGAATTCTTATAAGAGACCAAAGTTTGAGTCAGAATGTTAAAGAATTTTTATAAGAAACCCTTTGAGTAAGAACTTGGTAGGGGGTCTTTATAAGAAACTTTGGCAGGAAGTATTATGTTACATAAGCTGGCTGCTCATGGGCCACAAGTAGGTCACATGACACAGTGACCTTGCATTCCAGAGTTAAACAGTCAGTGTGGGAAATTTGAAATTTGCAGTCGGTATTAAGTGCAGCAGTGTTGAGTGCACATATACTGGCTTGCAACTGAGGACAAAAACTGTATAAAACTGGGTCAAAATTGTGGATATATTCCCTAACATGGCCTTTGGACATAATGTTTTGTTCATGTTCACACTTAACCTGTACATGACATCCAAAATACATGTTTGCTGGACCGATGTCTGCATGGAAGTCTCTGGAAAGATTGCTATCAAGAATTGTCAAGAGTCAACGCTATCAAGCCGTTTGCAATAACATGATGTGCACTGCAACTGGTAAGTTTTCATGTGTATGTACATGTACATGTACATGTATAATACATTGTGTACAATTAGGACATTATTTAATTCTTTATGTGTTAATATAAATGTTCTGCTTTGACTGCATTACATGAATCAGGTGTCTTTCAAATGACAAATTTAAACTTATAAAGCATGGAAAAGGAATTGAAAAAAAATTAATTCAACTTAATGACGCTTAACGCTCAGTTTATTAAGCAACTTCTAGTCATAAGCTTATACTCTATAAAAAAAAACGAAACCTTGTTTTTACATTATATTTGTATATATTAATTAATTCCAAGTATTCTGTTTTTCATTTCAGATACAGCAAAATTGCAATTACATGATTGTGGTGGACGACATCCTTAGGCAAATGGCAAAGTCTGGATTGCATCCACAACAAAGTTCTAACCATAAAGCAGAAGAAATCAAGACATCATCAAAGCCTGCATCTCACTGATCTTGACTACCGTACGTGGACGATCTGGCCCTCACGGCTGATCATCTGTGTGATGCTCAAGACCTGTTAACATCTCTCGAGAATGCTGCAGCCAAGGTCGGCCTGTTTCTTAATGCAAAGAGGACCGAGTACATGTACATGACCATCAATGAGGAGAACCACTACCCAATATACACCAGTGACGGCACCCAACTTAGAGAGGTCAGTGATTTCAGGTACCTTGGGTCCTATGTTGCCGACAGTAAGAACTAAAGAAGGACTTCTTCACTCGCAAAGGAATAGGTTGGAGTGCCTGTAACAAGCTTCATAACGTCCGGCAAGTGCCTGTAACAAGCTTCATAACATCCGGCAATCAAGTATAGCACAATCAACAAAGCTGGCCTTCTTCAGAGCCTGTGTGGAGAGCATTCTTCTCTATGGAGCTGAAACCTGGACCATGAAGAAGCCTGGAAGATCACCTTGATGGCACATACACCATGCTTCTAAGAGGGTGAAGAACATCTCATGGTGTGAGCACAGGACTTAAGAACAGATTTACGGAGACATTCCACCTACATACATCTCTGCTATTGTTGCTCAACGACGAGTTCGCTTTGCTGGCCACTGCTACCGTGCTGTAAACCAGGACATATGATCTGATGTATTATGTTGGAGACGTCCATGCCGCAGAGAACAAAGACCCTTCACTACATTGAAAGTTTTAAATCTCCTGCAATGCAGGACGCCTATTGTCTCTTTTTTGTTTGTACTCTGACTTTTCAGGGAGACCTATCTCCCACATGTTTTGTACACGATTGTAAATATGGGACCTCTCGGGAATTGGGGACCCTATTGTCCTCTATTGTTCAATATCCCATAATGAATGCAGAAACGAACTCATATGTACATGTATGTATTTTGGAAGATGTTAAGTACCTTTTTTGGAATACATTGTATTTTATAAATCAGATGACTGGTTCTGATCACTTTATTTAACGTGTGGTAAAACCAAACTAAAAGAATTATTGTATTTCAACTTTTCCTCTGAAAGCTGTTAATTATATGATCAGTTTCATGTGTTGATTTGTCCTGAAACAAACTGTAAGTATTAAATTAACTCTTTTAGCCTACTTTTACTGTCCTGGCATCCATTAATTCTTGCGGTGTCATTTTTTTAAATATTTATTTCATCAGCAAACACAAGATTTTTTTGTTAGTCAAGGGTTTTCATAGACGTTTAGTAACGAGCATGTCTATTTATGATGTAGGTTTATAAGAAAAGTATTACAATATTTTTAAAATTTTATAAGATGTTTAACATCATCTTGTAAGATTTTAAATTTTTTTATAAGATTTTATAAGATTCTGTGACTGTTCGTATAAGATTTTTATAAGATTCTGACAAGATTCTTATAAGATTCTTATAAGAGTATTTTGTAGGCCACGCTAGGATTCTTATAAGAATCTTATAAGAATCTTATAAGAATCTTATAAAAATCTTATAAGATCTTACTAATTTGCATATAAAATACTTATAAGATTCTTATAAGATTCTTATAAGATTCTTATAAGAAGGTTCTCAGATTCTTATAAGATTCTTACAAAATTCTTATAAGATTCTTATAAGATTCTTATAAGAGTATTTCGTAGGGGCTATGATCCACCCCCACTGTGTCAGCTGCCTCCCCTGCCCCATCCTTCTCGGTATGGACTTCGTACGCGACGCTCAACTGACTTTGGACTTCAGTGGTGGGTCGTATTGGTGCACTGATGGAATCGGACGTTGCATCAAATCCCACTCCATGGCTTTTCACCCAAGTCACTGGGTAAAGCCGCCCCTGCCGACGTCCAGACCCCCCCCCCCCCCACCGACCATTGACGACATGGAAAAACCATCAACAGCTAAGCTGAACATGTGTATCCTGTCAACCACTGATCAACAGAAACTGGATGATCTCATTGCTGCATTCCCCGGTGTTATGTGCAATGATATCGGTTGCACCAACCTGTCCTACCACCAATTGATGTGGGTGACGCACAGCCAGTGCGTACCCCAGTGTATCGCCTGTCAGCAGAACGGGAACAAGCACTGAACGAACAACTTTCCGAGTTACTAACGCTGGGAAAGGTCGAGCCATCAACGTCCCCCTGGGCTTCGCCAGTGATTATGACACCGAAAAAGACTGGAGGGTACCGTATGTGCGTTGACTACAGAAAACTGAACTCTGTTACAACGGTCGATGCATACCCAATGCCCACCATCGACGCCATCTTGAGTTCACTAAGGGGTGCCCAGGTGTTCAGTTCCCTCGACTTACGCAGTGGGTACTGGCAATTGATGGTTCACCCAGATGACGTCGAGAAGACGGCCTTCGCTTGTACAGACGGACTTTTCCAGTTCCGTGTCCTCCCATTCGGAGTCATTAACGGGCCATCGAGCTTTCAGCGGCTCATGTCGACTGTTCTTGGCGACCTGATTGGCAGGAAGTGCTATGTCTACCTGGACGACATTGTCTGCTTTTCCACATCCATTGATCAGCACCTGCAGGACCTAGAGGAAATCTTCACTAAGCTTCAGCGTGCCGGACTCACTGCCAATGTCGCCAAGTGCCGATTTGGGTGTAGTGAAATGGTCTACCTTGGCCATGTCATAACCCCGGGCGGCATCAAGCCAGACCCAGACAAGGTGGACGCCGTCAATTCCTATCCAGTGCCTGTGAACGTGAAGCAGCTCGAGCGGTTCTTGGGAATGAATGCGTGGTTTCATAAATTCATTCCCAACTTCTCCACAGTCGCCGAACCCTTACACAATCTCCGCCGTAAACACACCACCTGGGATTGGTCAGAGGACTGCCAAGTGGCCTTCAGCACCCTGAAACAACTTCTCACATCTGATCCAGTGCTGGGTTACCCGGATGGGGACCTGCCTTTCTCCGTCCATACCGACGCCAGTGACGTTGGGCTGGGCGCCGTCCTCCAGCAGGGCCAGGGGTCAGAGGTCCGCACAATTGCCTACGCAAGTCGTGCCCTCAACAGCGCAGAGAGACGTTACAGTACCACTGAGCGTGAATGTCTTGCCATGGTCTGGGCGATGGAGAAGTGGCGACCGTACCTAGAGGGTAGAAAGTGTCGGGTGTTTACAGATCACCAGGCACTCTGCTGGCTCTTTCGCAAATCGAAGCAGACACCTCGACTGGCTAGATGGGTCCTCCGCCTTCAGGACTTTAAGTTCAATGTCGTCTACCGCCCAGGCACTCTCAACAATGTGCCTGATGCTCTATCACGCATTCCAGAGTCTACATCCGTCGTGGGGGTCATACAGACACCACAGGAGCCGAACAAGGGTACAACAAACCCCACCCTGCCAGTCGCTGACTTACCATCAGAACCACAGCCTGACCATGCCGAGCCACAGGTGAACCACAATCATGATCGATGTGCTACCTCAAACTGCCGAGAACCGCAGGACGACGTTGTAGACTTGATTTATTGCGATGACTGTAAGCATTGGTTCCACCAACCCTGTGTGAACATCCAGCCTCAACGCGCTGCACAGATCAACCGGTATTCCTGTCCAGCATGCCGCAGACGCCACTGGGCAAACCGGAAAGAGACTGAATGGACAAACCAGACCGCTACTCCCCAAGCAGACCAGGGTTTCTTGAGCCACCAGCAGTTGGTACAGGGGCAGACACAGGACCCAAGTTTGATGCCCATCATTCGCTTTCTGCAGCATGGTGATTTGCCGGGTGATCCAGCCGAGGCCAGCCGATTGGAAAAGAGCGTAGACGCATACCGCTTGCATGGTGATGTCTTGTTGCACTATGCCTCTTCTTCATGGCCGGTGGTTGTGCCGTCAGCCCTCAAACACGCTGTGCTGTTCAAATGCCACTCCGCCCCGTCTGCAGGTCACTTGGGCCGCTCTAAAACCATCGCACGTATCAGACGACACAACCTATGGTGGGATGGACTGACTAAGGATGTCCGTGGCTTCGTCCGGGCATGTGATGTCTGCAAAAAGACGAAACCACACTTCCAGAAACCTGCTGGACTGATGCTATCAACAACCTCGACAAGACCGTGGGAAATCGTTGCAGTGGATATCATGGGGCCCCTACCTAGGAGCTACGCTGGCCATGAGTTTCTCCTTGTAGCTGTGGACCACTACACCAAGTGGACTGAGGTTTTCCCACTGAAAGCAGCTACAGGCAAAGTCATTGCCTGTACCATTGCCCGCCAACTGTTCAGCCGATTCGGAGCCCCGAAGACCCTCCTGTCAGACAACGGTTCCCAGTTTACCAGTCGTGCTCTCGAGTCTATCTGTTCGCGGTGGGGGGGGGGGGTCCAACAAGTCTTCATCACTCCCTTCCACCCACAGAGTAACTGGGTCGAGAGGGTGAATCGCAACCTAAAAGCCATGATGCGCGCCTTTGTTGGCGACGACCACCGCTCGTGGGATATTCACACAGCTGAATTTGCCTTCGAGCTAAACACCGCCAAACATGAGACCACAGGGGTAGAGCCGTCTGTACTGATGTTGGGTCAAAAAATCTGCACACCCATGACAAATAGTCTACCTTCCCCAGCTCATCACGTCAACCACACCCCTGCAGAGACAACTGCCGAGTTCGCCTCATACTGCCAGGAGGCCAGACAGAAGCGGAAAAAATACTATGACCGACACTGGCGTCCCGCGAACATCGTTGTTGGCGAACACGTGATGCTGAGAACACATCCTCAGTCAAACGCGCAGAAGCATTTCTGTGCCAAGCTAGCCCCCCTATGGAAAGGCCCCTACATCTTGAAAGAGCGTCTCACGCCGGTGAACCTCAAGATCGCGGATGTCCTCTTGCCAGACAAGAACATTGTGGTCCACGTGGACCAGGTCAAACCCTGCTGCCCATAGACCCCGTGGACTGTCGTTCTTGGCTACCATTTCCATGTTGAACTGTAGATATGTTTATATTCAGCTGTGCTGAATCTTTGTATTTATCATGTTTAACCACGGTTTTGTTTTTTTCGCAAAAGTTGTTGAAAAGATCCACCTTTTTCTTCCGCATGTTTAAAACGATCACCATGGTACATGTATTTGACTGATTTTTCTAAATTGTGTACTTATGCGGCTTTCAAGACACAAAAACAAAAGTAGATGGACAGTACATGTGCATGTGTATATTAGAAAATATGACAATATGGCAAAAGCATGTTGTTTTATTTTTTCCATTTATTGCAAACTCCAAGGCAGTATACTTGTCACAGTCTCACTTTTATAGGACACATGAGGGAAAGGAATCATATTTTGTCATTGCTTTTGACATTTGTTTTGATTTAGCTGCCATCCTTGTAATACATGTATTTTGGGTATTACTATTTCCTCAGGATATTACAGGCAAAGGAAAAAATAAGTTTCATTGGTAGAAAAGTTGAAAAAGGGAAAATGGTTTGATCACAATTAGACTTTTCTCTGTGTAAACAAACCCTTTTTTTGTTGGGGATTTGTTTAGGAGGGGGGGATGTAACGGGACTAGTTGCCAGTCTAATCCGAAGTGCATGATGGGATAGGCTCATTAGCATATCCAAGATGGAGTTTATTCTTGAGAACGATATGGGAATAAAGTAGTGGATCTGAAAGTACGTTTTGTGTCCCACAAGCCCCCCTTGACTTGTCATCTTAACCTGATAATTGGTAAGAACCCTTCCAAGATTCTTACAACTCATCTAATACAAATTTTCTTTTTTATTTACAGGAAAACACCGAAGAAAAACTGCCTTGCCCTCATCGGGGAAAGCAATGCCGGGAAGACATGGATCGTGAACTCCCTCGCCGATCTAGCCGTGCACGTAGGAGAGATAAGCCAAGGAAGCGGCGGGTATGCCTTTATGTGGCAGGAGTGCGTAGATAAGCGTCTCATCATCTTGAACGAGCCCTACTTGGATGCGTGCGTCATTGGTAAGTGTCACGGGACGAACATGGGCAACTGGATGGCACCCCAATTTGGTTTCAAGCGGACCGCGGATCCGACCAATCGAAACGCACCAAGGCCGATGACGGGTACGGTTCCGACGGCGGTGGAACAACTCGCCGGGCAGAACGTCTACAGGACCGGAGAGCTGGGCGCCTTCCCTATGGGAGAAGCATCGTTCCCCCCGGATGTCACACCGAACTTCATGTGGTAGAGGACGACGTCGTGCCTGACGGCGGAGCCGGAGAATTTGATTATCTGTCTAGAATGCTGGACTCTCTTATGCTCGATCTCTCGCGTTGCCAAGGTGACGCCGCTGGTTTAAAGTCTAAAGTGTTGCGCTTGCTAGAGAAACATGACGGGCAGGAGGAGGTGTAATTAACAGTACTCATTCAATTTCGTGGTCTTTTTTCAGTAACACTTTTCTCAGTCTAATTCTTGTTCATGAGCTCGAGATGCATTTTGAGTATCACTGTGTTGATGTTTGATTGGAATATTTAAGGAACAACCAAATACAAACCACTGGATGTCTTGACAACAGTGTTCCTTAAAATATGTAAAGTAATCCCTTAAGAATTTGCAGGTGCAGTTTTAGACGAAGCCATTGCATTTAAGAAGAAGTATTCAGTTGTCAAATGTAAGTGACTGTTTAGTCAAGGTCTTTCGTTTTTAGTTTATTGTCAGGATTGGTTGAAAAAAAGGGAGAAATTTCATTCAGACACTTGAGAGAATTTTTAAAAACTTCTTAAAATCAAAAGTAAGGTGACTTTTTAGTCAAAGTCTTTCAGGAATGGTTGAAAACAAGGGAGAAATTTTATTCAGAAACTTGAGAGAAAATTACTTCTTAAAATCACTGGGTTTGTCAAAAGTATACCCCCAAATCCTTAAGGGCTTAGTTTAAGTTTTTCAGGAACACTGGTGTTAAGACATCCAGTGGTTTTGAAGAAGAACCTGGGCGGAGGTTGACCAAACTTGAAGCCTGTGTGACTCTGCTCCTACCAGGTTAAAAGACAGTGAGGTGATATGGAATGTTTAAAAAATTTCGCCTTGAACTGCCTCAATTAACAGTGTAATTTACTCGTTCAAAGTCATTGTCTTTTATTCAGTGACACTTTTCTCAGTCTAATGCTTGTTCATGAGCTCAAGATGCTTGAGTATCACTGTGTTGATGTGTAATTGGAATATTTAAGGAACAACCAAATACAAAACCACTGGATGTCTTGTTTTAGTTTGTTGACAGGAAAGGTTGAAAAAAGGGAGAAATTTCATTCAGAAACCTGAGATAAAATTACATCTTAAAATCAAAAGTAAGATAACTGTTTAGTCAAGGTCTTTCTTCTTTAGTTTGTTGTCAGATTGGTTAAAAAAAGGGAGAAATTTCATTCCGACACTTAAGAGAAAAGAACTTCTTAAAATCAAAAGTAAGGTGACTTTTTAGTGACAAGGTCTTTCAGGAATGGTTGAAAACAAGTGAGAAATTTCATTCAGAAACTTGAGAGAAAATTACTTCTTAAAATCACTGGGTTTGCCAAAAGTATACCCCAAAATCCTTTAGGGCTTAGTTTAAGTTTTTCAGGAACACTGCTGTTAAGACATCCAGTGGTTTTGAAGAAGAACCTAGGCGGAGGTTGACCAAACTTGAAGCCTGTGTGTCTCTGCTCCTACCAGGTTAAAAGACAGTGAGGCGATATGGAATGTGTAAAAAATTTCGCCTTGAACTGCCTCAATTAACAGTGTAATTTACTCGTTCAAATTCATGGTCTTTTTTCAGTGACACTTTTCTCAGTCTAATGCTTGTTCATGAGCTCAAGATGCATTTCAGTATCACTGTGTTGATGTGTAATTGGAATATTTAAGGAACAACCAAATACAAAACCACTGGATGTCTTGTTTTAGCTTGTTGACAGGAAAGGTTGAAAAAAAAGGAAAAATTTCATTCAGAAACCTGAGAGAAAATTACATCTTAAAATCAAACGTAAGATAACTGTTTAGTCAAGGTCTTTCTTCTTTAGTTTGTTGTCAGGATTGGTTGAAAAAAGGGAGAAATTTCATTCAGAAACTTGAGATAAAATTACGTCTTAAAATCACTGGGTTTGACAAAAGTATACCCACAAATCCTTAAGGGCTTCGTTTAAGTTTTTCAGGAACACTGCTGTTAAGACATCCAGTGGTTTTGAAGAAGAACCTGGGACGGAGGTTGACCAAACTTGAAGCCTGTGTGTCTCTGCTCCTACCAGGTTAAAAGACTGTGAGGCGATATGGAATGTGTAAAAAAATGTCACCTTGAACTGCCCTTATTAAAGGGAATAAACAACATTTGCCAACATCAAAATATAAAACTACCAAGTTTTTACGAAATACCTTACTAGGATGTTGGTAAATGATAGTCTCAAGCATTTTGTAAAATTATGGCACCTGGTGTGAAGTCATTTTCAAGAAAATGGTATTTGTGTATACATTTCCAACGGTGGTCGGCCGACCAGCGTTGGAAAAACTTAACTATTTTTCAACTACTGCTCGAAATTAACCATTTTTTCAGTCCAAATTTTGTTTGCTGTTGGTTACATGGTTTCATGAACGGGTGCAGGCCAGCTAGACTGGTTCCGGTGCCTTATAATTTTCCATCATCTATAAATTGATCCATTTTATCTTTTGTGGAGTCAGGGAACCAGACTACTTAAACATTTTTGTTTTTCTTGGTTTTTCCAACCTTTTCGAGCACAAAACTTCAAAAATGTCAGTGTAACAATATTTGATCTATATATACTAACCCCTCAAATAGTTCATTTCTGAAAATTACATCAAAAACCAATGATGTACATTCCCTTTAACAGTGAACTCGTTCGAATTCATGGTCTTTTTTTTCAGTCACATTTTATTCAGTCTAATGCTTGTTCATGAGCTCAAGATGCATTTTTGTGATTACTTTTGACAACTGCATAATAATTTGTTTGAAAAAAATACTGGGTTTACCTAAAACTGTAAAATTGCATAGAATTTGGAGATGCAGGTTTTTTTTATTTATATGTGTAGACCTACTAAATAAAACACGAAAAGGGCTGTGTTCTTTAAAAATACACTCGAGAAAATGAATTGAATTTCAAAATAAGCGGGCCTTTCGATTCTAATCGACATTATTTATTTTATAATTGCTATGAATCATTTTAATATTGTAAAAATTATTAGCATGACCGTGTGTGCTTATCGAGTACATCTCTAAAGTAATACATTGATTTAAGCGATTATTATGACCTATCAACTTGAACTTGCTAATTTAAGACTATGTTAGACCCCACTGCAGGCTGCATTTTAAAACATTTTTAACTATTCATTGTAACTTAAATTCCAGTTCCCAAATTTAATATTTTACCTTGTGTGATTAATGAAGAGTTGAGAATAAATTTCAAATGTTTGCTGTTGAAAAAAATTACTTGTGTCGCATACTAAAAGGGGGTAGGTGGGGGTGAGGGTGGGGGTCGCGAACGGTCGGTTGGAACCCTGAAGGAAGTGTTGTTAATCTACACTTGCATGTCCACAAACAAATAACCACTGTTACCAAACAGAAATATTGTTTCGTTCGGCTACAGAGAGCTGTACTTCAACAGAGGAGTTGTTATGGGAAAAAACTGTAACAGAAAACTTGCTGTTATGTTACAAAACCATAACGCTTAATAATTGTGGCAAAACAGTGGAATCCCTGTAGGTGTACAGAACCAAATACAGTAGAATCTGCTGTTAATATACAGAGGAAAAATCAACAGTAGAATGCACTGTGCAAAAACAGTAACTCCTGTAATGCCAATTGACAATAGAAACTACTGTGATTTAACAGGTTTTTTTTTAACAGTGTACTTACTCCGTGTGTACAGAGATATTCATTTTTTAAAATTTTTTTTTTACAAATTACAGGTCCAAATGAAATACAAAATCTGAATACATATTG